TTTTTTTTTTTTTTTTTTTTTTTTTTAAATCATATTCCATCATCGTACAGATGAAATTAAGAAGCAACTGCAAGCTGTCGATGCGAAGGCGGTCATTACAGTGGTAGAAATTGCACGGATCGTACTCGAAGCCACGAGAGATACTCTCGCATCTGGAGCACCCTTCGTGGTTATCGAGGATGGCAGCGGACCTATTCCCGAGGGCACTGTGCCGTTTAAGGTGCGAACTAAAACTGATCAGAGCGTGTCGAGCAGCCAGACGAATTGATTGAATTCGAATTCATAGGCGTTGAAAAAAAAACCGTATTTCGTATAATCGATACGTTCGCTTGACACGTTGGCTCAAGAGGAGGGAATTCTTTTCTTTTCTTTTCTTTTCTTTTCTAGGATCTTATCACGCGAGGCAAAACGTTACCGCCTATAACCAGATATCAGTCGTCACCGGAAGATGTGGCCGTTTTGCCATTCTCTAGCGGAACGACAGGCTTGCCAAAAGGGGTCATGTTGACGCACAACAATTTAGTCTCTAATATGCAAATGGTGGACTACACGTGCAAAAATCAATTGTGGAAGACTACAACCGGTAAGCGGATGTTCTCCCTTGCAGTGTTATTCAATTAGTCGTTCGTTTAATGTCGTGCATCGTTGACAAGCTTCATTATCTTTCCAGCCGATTTCCAAGAAGTATTACCCGTAATATTACCTTTCTTCCATATTTTCGGGTTCAACACTTTAGTATTGCCGCGTCTTGCCTGCGGCACAAAATTAATTACCATTCCTAAGTTCTTGCCAGAGCTATTCATTGGCGTTTTAACGAAGCACAGGGTGAGAATAATTTTTAGCTAGAATGCTAAAATTTCTTGCTGGAAATGTTTCGCGAATGTCGTTTCCTTCTTCTTTTTTTTTTTTTTTTTTTTCATTTTTTCTCATCACGCAGGTGACGGGCCTGTTCATAGTCCCGCCGATACTTTTGTTCTTCAACGTTTGCACATTCCTGAAGAAGCAGAATTTCGAGAGCATGCATCACTTCATCACCGGAGCGGCACCACTGTCGAGCACAGACGTGGACAACTTCTATCGAAAGTATCAGCTGAACAACGACCAATTGAAAATCTGTCAAGGTACGCCACGGAATATCAATGTACGGTGAACTGTGCTTCTAACATTTTCATTTTCGAATCGTTTTCATACGATACGTTCCACGAAAATCGAGATTTCCAACGGAAACAGATTCCAGCGTGTAATTTCCTTTCTTCTTTCCCTTCTTCGAAAAGGATACGGATTGACGGAGACTTCGCCGGTTGTGTGCCTGGACGTGAGCGGCACGAAATCAGGAAGTATCGGGAAGAACATCGCTGGCTGCGAATTGCGATTAGTCGATCCAGTTACAAAGGAAGATATTACTGATCAGGGTCAAACCGGTGAAATATGGGTTAGGGGGCCTCACGTTATGAAAGGGTACTTGAACAACGAGAGTGCCACGAGGGAAATGATCGTCGAGAACGGTTGGCTGAGAACGGGAGATATCGCTTATTACGACGAAGAATTTTATTTCTTCATCACGGATAGATTGAAAGAATTAATCAAGGTTAAAGGATTTCAGGTAAATGACACTTGCGTTTCGCAGAATTCCTAGACAATGTATCAACTGTGCAACTAGCATTGCTAACTTTATCATTTTATCAGAAGCTCATAATGTTTGCGTATCAAACGTTATCACGTCTTGTAGTTTGTACCTGATAGTAATTCAGTCCAATATTGACAGAGAACCGGTGTTTGTAGTTATATAATGAAATCAACGTTGTTATCAATCCTTTCAATCAGGGTCAAAGTATCCAGTCGTATGTACAAGAGTGTCCTACGTCTCTGTTTCTATGGGGAACGCGGCAGTAGATCAGTTTTTTGATTTTTGAAATGTTGCTTCTTTACCGAGTTGACATTTTGCGCCAGGTGCCACCAGCTGAATTGGAAGCTGTGTTAAGAACGCATCCAGACGTTCAGGAAGCTGCCGTGATCGGCCTGCCGGACGAGAGATGCGGCGAGATACCTAAAGCATTCGTAGTAGTCAAAAAAGGTTCGAAAGTAAGCGAGGAGGATATTAAGGAGTTCGTTAAAGGCAAAGTGTCCGAGTACAAACAGCTTCAAGGTAAAGTTATTATGTGCGAAAGTGAGGATTGACGCGAAGCAGATTTCCCCAAGTTGTTAAAATGACGTAGATTTTATCATATTTTATTACCAGCCTATGAATGCTTTACATTCAGCGCGCCTTCTTTTTACATTTCTGTACAGTGCGAAGTTGAATGAATTCGATATTTCAGGAGGAGTCACGTTTGTAAACGATATACCAAAGAACGCAAGCGGGAAAATCCTTAGAGCGAAATTGAAGAGTGATTACGTGAAATGAGAAAGGAATCTGATGCGAGGTCTCGCTCGATGATTAATGCCATAATGGGATCAATTATCAATTAAGGACAGAGTACAACAAATTGTTTCTATGACATCGATTGCCATGACAATATGAATCATATTGACTGCTACTTTGCTGCGAGACTGGTGGAAGTGTTAATAATGTTAATCGATCAACGACCGCGCGATCAATCGATCTCTTCCCAATAGGTTACTCTTTGTCATTCATTTGCTTTTCTTTTTTTCTTTTACAGCTTTAAGAAAGCGGAGATAGGGAACAATGATTTTAATCATTATAGAAAAAAAAAAAACAAACAAACAAACATAATCGCGTATGAGCGTGCTTTCAAAAAAGGAATTTGAAAGATTTACGCGATTACGATTATTTTTAATAGCATTTGACGTATTATAGTTTCATCGTGGTGCTATCTGTAACAACGTAATTAATTTTTAAGGCGACAAGGTTTTTGTGATATAGATACTGGATTCGATTTTTATAAATGATTTATACTAGAAAATAACGGATACAAAAAAATAAAATATTTTATAGTCGTATTACAATTAATTGTACTTTCCACTAAGTATACTCCAAACTTATTACAGTCCAACAACTTATTCTAAATAACTTGTATCTATTTCTTGCTTTTGTATTCATTATTACGATTATTTGCAGCTTCATACGATTTGCGATTATTCACTGAATTTTTAAAGTATACGTCTCAAGCAAAATTGTTACTTATTACGTATATTTCATACTAGCGATAAGTTCCTGTTTTTCTAGCCCAGCATTCAATCAAGGATGCAATTCATTTTCAAACAGAGTTTGAAGAACAGTGATATTTTCTTTACGACATGAATGAAGCTTTACGACGTAGCTTCCTCATTAATTCTTTCTCACAATCCGCACTTGAGATATCGTTTCACGAGAATTTCGCCGAGTTGGATATTATTCTGCATAGGTGTGATAAATACGTGTAAAAAATAATCGTAATCATTCGAATACTAAGGTGATGTGTGACATTCCCTTCATTTGTTATAGATGTTTGCTGTTTGCGTTACAACACAGCATTAGAAATATACCTTTGTCGAAGGAACAAAGTCGAAAATTGACATTTTATGAATAGGATATTTTCTGTCATGTATTCCTGAGTGTTCGTTAAATAACTCTTAGGAAGTAAAAAGAAACAATTACACAAATAAGTTAAGAGCGACTGTCCACCAATGTAATATCCTGCTTTTAGAAATTTCTTTGCGATTAATCCTCAAAAGGTAAAGAAAACCTTTCTTTCAAGGTATGCTATTACAACTTGTAACGGTTTCGTAGAATCTAATTCTCACAGAATAGTTCCCTTTGACTGTTCAATGTTTCCACATTGACACACAGGCCTACTAGTGGCTTATCAAGCATTCCCAGTGAATTCTACGGTAATCACCGGTGTGTTCTGTCATCTTGTCGGCCATTCGAAAACGTCGAAATTAAGCTACCGCATGTGAATTTCTATGAGATTGCTCGCGCCGCCATTTAATCTCTCGAAGGCTGCAACTGCGTCGTTCTGCAAACGCAGAGATTTGCTTTCGCGTTTCGCTTCGAGCCTGCTAGACAGGTAAATGTTCCTGGGATCGAATCGACGTTCAGAATAAGCAGGAGGAGACGAAGCCTATTCTGCTTTCCACTCTTAATGCGTGTCTCAATTCACCTCCTGGCTAAGTTCTCGCAATTCTGCTTAGTCCTGTTCGCGGAATCGTAATGAATTGACTTCGCAAAATTGGAAATAAGCTGAGTTTCCTTCTCCTCGATCTCGAGGGGACGAACAGTTCACTCGAGGTGAAATGAAGGTTTTCGTAGAAAAAGTAAGAAGGTTCGAATTTCAGCATACTACTTGTTCATCGTATAGAGGAAACGTAAAAGATAAGATTAAGCAACATTCGTACCACGTTTGAGTTGAATCTAAATTATAAAGGAAATACTAGTTTGTTATAATTTTCTTGTACATTATTTGCCGTTCGTGACGGAAACATGTTACTGTTGCACACACGCACACGAGATCCCATTGCTTCTGAGTTTGCGGCCGCAGACGACAGTTGTATTTTCTTTCCCATTTGGCCACAGCAAATGTTCCGGTTGGAAAATTAAGTTTTCAAGACAAGCGGCCACCGCAAAGTATCGGATACCTCCGCCGATCGTGAACCGTAAAATTTGTCTCTTCAGGAACGTCCGGGCAGACGATGGAGACTCAGGCGTAAACGGTCGGAATTTATTTCACGAGCGCGTTCAGCTTTCCGAACGATTCAACCTGCGGTGCCTGGTTTCACGTTCGATAGGTGGAAATAGCGTTGCCTCGGCGGAAATCGACGCAAACAAATCAATCGGGGAGAGGAGGGGCCGAATGAAATCAAACGCACGTTCAGAGACGCCACCTTGAGCGCTACCCCGTGCCTCGTTTCTTTCGGCGTAGGCTGGAAAATGAAAAATACAGGACGATGCAGACTGCACCGCGCGTGACGCTCGTTTTTTTTTTCTTTTTCTTTTTTCTCTTTTCTCGCCTTCTGTTTCTCAGGTTGCTTCTCTTCTCTTTTTCTTTTTTTCCCTCCTCTTCTCTCCCCTCGTTCTTTTTATTCTCTCGACACTCTGTAGTCACGCTCTAGTAACGATAGACGGT